AAAAAAAAAAAAAAAAAAGATAGATATTTTGGGATGGAAAGAGTAATTAAGATTTTGAAAGTATTTAAATAAATTAATTCATTATTTGAGTATTATCATAACAAGACGTAATTTTTTATTTTAGTAAAATGAGTAATTTAATAAGAAATCATTAGAGATATGGGAAAAAGAGCATATATTTATATCTTAATTTTGTTAAGATTTTTAAGAAAATTAATTATTGTCACGAAGGATATCTAAGATTGAAGTCGTCAATAAAATTTTTGCCTCCTCGCTTTACTTTTTGCCTTCGTCCCTATCTATTGTCCTCCTAAGAACCCCCAAGAAATATCTATTAATATATAGAAAATCATCAATTCCCAAAAGAAAAATAATTCATATAATTTCGGTTTAACAAATTTTTTGATTTTTTTTAATTATTAAAATATAATATAAATATAATTGATTCAACTAATTTAATTAATTTAGTCAATTTTTACATCTTATATGCATAATTATATTTTTAAATTTATTTATTTTTAATTTTATATTAAAAAATAATAATTTTTTAATAACTATATTGTATAATATATTGAACTAGAATATGTAGCTATCAATTTCCATTCCCATAACATACAGATTTTGTAAAAGACCTAATAACATCACAAATATTTGTTCTTTGGTCCAAGACCCAGGAATGTTCTGTTGTCTTCATTGTAGGACGATTAAGACACAAAAGGTCCAAGACTCCAAGTGCAACGGCCTTTCCTTTTTGTGTCCATATGTCAATGAAGTATAGTAATAGGAAACTATCCACATTGAATTTTTAATATGAACCCCCAGTCTATGTCACAGATTTTGACATTTTGGTTGAGCTGTAATTCAACATGCTTAAAACTTTATTCTTTCCTACGTATATAGCCTTCAGAAGTTTGTTGCCTCAACTACACAACTAAGCAAGCAGCCAAAAAACACATACTCGTAATTCCAACTTGGACCAACTGCTCGAATAAAAAATGTAAACATTTTTATGGAATCAAATAATCATATACATAGCTCTGTTTCCCATACAAGAGCCGCCATAGTTTATCTTCAAATTAATTTCTATTCATCACTAGAGAAATTAGCTAGCAATGGCAGCAGCAGCTGCTCGTCGAGTATTCTTGTTGTTCTTTGATCTTCTACTTCTGTCAATTTTCTCAGGCGTGGCTGTTTCCAAGACGATTGTGGAAACTCTACCAGGGTATCCTGGAAAACTTCCGTTTAAGCTTGAAACAGGGTGAGTACATGTCTCCTGATGAGTAGAATGTTTTTGTATGATCTCTTTTGGAATCGGGATTTTGATGTTTATGTGAAAATGGGCTTATGTTTCAGATATGTGGGTGTTGGTGATTCGGATGAATTGCAGTTGTTTTATTACTTCATTGAATCAGAAAGAAATCCGGTGAGGGATCCTCTTCTGCTTTGGCTCACTGGAGGACCTGGTTGTTCTGGTTTTTCTGGTCTTGTCTATGAAGTTGGTATTGTTCTGCACTCTGTTTGATGACCTTGGCTCATTTCTTTTTCTTCCAAAACATAGAAGAACTAACTTGTGTTATAATTTACAAGTTAAATTTGTTGCTTCAATACGAGAATGCTATTTCGCAGTCCCCCATGCACAGTCTGCACTTCACTTTTCTGTATTTTTATTAGATTTCCAATCTATTTAGTGCACTTTGCATATAATGTATTTATGTGTTTATGCAGGTCCACTAACGTTCGATTATGATTCTTTTAATGGGAGTTTGCCATCCTTTGTGTTGAACCCTTATTCATGGACCAAGGTTAGGTGCTAACTAATTCCAACTTCACTGTTCTAGTTCTTGTTTGAACTTATGCAATCAACATAAGGTGTTAAATATGTTTTGAATCATGGTGATGAGTTTTCCAGGTTGCCAACATGATATTTTTAGATGCACCAGTTGGCACTGGCTTCTCCTACTCAAAAACCCAAGAAGGTTATTATACCTCTGACACATTAAACGTAAAAGCAATCTACGCGTTCCTTAGAAAGGTGAGTAACTGAGTGAATTAATGGGGTGAATTCACTCTTTTAGGGATTGCAAATACTAACGCTAACATTTGTTTACTCTTGTCTGTTTTGATCCAGTGGATGCTTGACCATCAACATTTGGCCTTCAATCCACTTTATATAAGTGGGGATTCCTACTCAGGAAAGATTGTTCCCATCGTTACTCTAGAAATAGCATTAGGTAACTTTTGCTATTGAAGCGTATGTTTAGTTTTTTAAGTTAGAGAAACTATCCTATAATGTTCATCTGTTGTTCCATTCTTATTTCACAGGCAATCTTGTGCACAAGCCAATTTTGAATCTCCAGGTATTAACTTTCTAAATATGAACTTCTGAACTAAATGGTTACAAACTTAAGGCTATCCCAATGATTCCAATTTGTATTGAGTTAATTGGTTTTGATATTACCTGAGATGTTGTTGTATCCATCGATTCAATTTAAATCAGGGTTACTCGCTTGGCAATCCAGTAACTGATTTGCACAGTGATGAGAATTCAAGAGTCCAATATTTCTACCGGGTGGCACTAATATCTACTGAGCTTTATCAGGTGACTTCACCCTCTTGTTAAACTCAGCTTCACTGTTTGCAAGGATGACAATCTAAAACTTTTATCTTGTCTTCCAGGAAGCCGTGTATCTTTGTAACGATGAATTCATTACACCCGATCCAGATAATGCTGAATGCATGAATGCTATTGCCCAAATAGCAAAGGTTTGAAGACCTACATCACATTTTCTCTGACCAAGTATTGTCATTTTTACCTGTGATTAATGGCAGTTTGTTGTTGGTTGAATTTATAGTGCACTTTAAAAGTATGTGATGCGCAAATTTTGGAGCCAAAGTGCAGTTATGCATCCCCTAAACCACAAGGTAGTCTGAAATGGGGAAATAAATTTTTTGATGACACTCCCATTGACATCGCCTCTCCAGTAAGCAATCGCAAAGAAAATTGGTGTAGGGTAACAATGCCTCTTCCTACTCATGCTCTCTCTGGCTTTGTGTTTTTCCTGTCCCTTCAAATTCACAAATCCTAACAAGTTAGCTGATACCTTCTGCAGAATTCCAATTATGTGCTTTCTTACATTTGGGCAAATGATGACACCGTCCAGCATGCTCTTGGCATTAGAAATGTATGTTTTCCTTTTTCTTTTTCTTTTTCTTTTTTCTCCAAAGAGTGAAATAATTCAGATTCAATGAAATATAACCGTTGTAATCCCATTTACTAACATCACTAGGATTCATTTTTCTATCGTAATTAGGGGACAATCTCAGATTGGAAAAGGTGCAATAAAACCCTTGCTTATGATAGTGATATTGGAAGCACCGTTGTCTATCATAAGAGACTTACTAAAATGGGTTACAGAGGTCTGGTATACAGGTAATTTATTGCGTCCTCTTTGCTCCTCTGGCTCTTTTACCACTAAAATACCTTTGAAACTCTTCCTTGTGTTATTTTATTGATGACATTTCAGTAATTTTAGTGTCAAACAAGTACAATCTGATTTGAAAAACATAAAACTTCTCCAAATAAATGAACAAATTTTGCGGATTTTGCTCGACATTTGCTTAATCACTTCACATTCTTCTCACAGTGGTGATCATGACATGCTTATCCCATACACCGGTACAAGATATTGGTTAAGTACTCTCAATTTTACTATAGTCGATGATTGGAGACCATGGTATGTTGAAGGTCAAGTTGCCGGGTTAGTTTCCATTTCTCTTTTCCTTTTAGTTGAATCTTGTTTAGTTCAACCCGCCAGTGTTTGCAAAGGGAAAATAGGAAATCGTTTTCCCCTTGTAGGTTTTTCCATTTTCTTAGTGAAATAGAAATACACCCATGTGCACTACATATTATATTAGTTCACACAATCTACAGATACATCATTAAAGAAAAATATTATGCAGAGCCCACACAAGATGGAACTAAAACCTTTAACCTAAGTTATAGGGACTTAATCTTTACCATGTGTAAAAGATCTCATTTGCTGTCCTTCAGAAGTTTAGCTCTACAAATAACATTTTTCTAGTAATTTCAATCATCTGTTCTTTCTTTTATTCAAAATATTTTTTTTTTCACAGATTTACACTGAAGTATGCTGATCTGGAAGGAATTGGAGATGGTTTGGTTTTTGCAACCGTAAAGGCAAGAAAATTTTCATTCTCTTCCTTTTCTTGAAATGCCCTTTACACCTATGTACAAAGTGAATTGAATTTTTTTTTTCTTGGCCTTTTGATTTTCACAGGGAGCTGGCCACACAGCACCAGAGTACAAACCTAGAGAATGCTTTGCAATGGCTGATAGGTGGTTTTCCTACTACCTTTTGTAGGAACTATGAGACATTGTTAGTTGCTCTTAAAATTGTTGTACTAAATTGAATCTCTTTTTTTTTTTTTTTGAACAAATTATAATCAAATCTATCATACTAAAGGGGAATGGGGAAGAAGAATCATTAGGGACTTCAACTTTCAACCCCTAGTATGTTCCCATTAGTACTAAATTGAATCTTCAATGTATTTGCATATGCATTGAAATTATTACCAGAAAATTTTGTAATAATTGATGGAAGAATTTTCTTAACAACTGTTCAATGTTTTAGTAATATTTTAGCAGAAAATTTTGCCCAAATTAACTAATTTAGCTGTAATGAATTACCAACTCCAACCTAATCTTCAAAAGTAAATGACCATTTTTAAAGGCATCTATGTGATTTGAACTGCCCCACATACCTCTCTACCGAAAAATGCTGGACCAAATAACTACACTATAGTAATTACCTCATTAAAGAATAATATTTCAGCCGACAAACTTTATTGATAATGTTTGACAAACACAACACATTTTTTCAAGTTAATTATTTAGTATTATAAGTTTTTAAACCTTTAAATTAAGTTTTCTCCTATACGTATTAATGTAGTTAAATTTATGTTGTTAATATAATATTGTACTTTTAGATTAAAAAAATAAAAATAATTGAATTTGTAAGATTCTTAATATCATAATTGTTAAAAATTCTTATTTAATTAGTTAATATTATAAAATTTTAAAATTTTAATTTTAATTTCAAATTAAAACTCTTAAATTAATAAATACCATTGCAGAACAGGTTCGTATTGGCAGTGAATACTTTAGATTCAAGAAATTACCCAAAAATATAAGACTTTGGACTGCAGAAAGAAAATCTTCCTTTAATAAATTTGGTACTGCTAACTAACTATATAAATACCAACGAGGGGTTGGATCAAGTGGTAAGCAGCTTATTTCAATT